CCGGCGGAGGGCAGTCGGGCAATGTCTGTTGTCGCGGCTGGTGCGTTGGGACCTCGAATGTTATATGCGTTTACTGGGGACGTCGGCAGACTCGTCTGAGAGGCTTGCTGTCGGCTTACTCGGCGACGCATATACATTCGAGGGTCTAAATCTGGGACTGAGTCTGTCCGGCTCGTTCCTCATTCGCTTTTTGGCCCCAACCACCGATAGCACAGCGCCGTGAATATGTCAGCCGTACTAGTCTGAGCGGCCTGTTCGGCGAGCATATTCGCGGAACATTCGTAACATTTGAGCGTGCCTTGCAAGGTCGCTATTTCATACGGCAACGCGCCTATTCAGGGAGGATATTCACGGGTTGGGGAGCCATGAACGAGGCTCTCATTTCATGGAGTAGGCTTATTTTGGTGCAGAGTTTGTACTGGGCCGAGTCGGAGCCCTGCCCTGCCATGGTTGTTCATTTTGCTGACTATCAAAAATACATCCGCCTGGTGTATTTATACCTTCTTTAATTTGGAATCGCAACATAGTCCACCGGGGCCGGATCATTTATTCAGTGGAGGACACAGTCCCCATGGCTACCGGACATTAAATTTGTTGAGTCCACTGGGTAAATTGATGGTTTGTTTTGAACATACAGTCCACTTTGTACTTTGATTTAGTTCCCATTTCACTCAAACATGGAGGAGCTACTGGCTGCTAGGTCGCGTCTCCGCACAAAGGCTACTAAAGCGTGCAACGATCTCCGGGCCTACAGGGAAGGAGATCGGGCCTCCCTAGATCAGGACCAGCTTGCCCTCAAACTCCATCATGTGGAGAAGATCCATGCTGAGTTGCAGGGCTTGCAGGTCCAGCTGGACAAACAGGGTCAGGCCGATGAGACAAATCATGTTCAGACTCTTGAGGATGAGGCTTTCCTCGGTTCTCGTCTTTTGACTCGCCTCGAGAAGGCAGAGGAGGCCCAGTTCAGGGCAGAGTCGATGAAGGCAGCTGGTAGCGCCGATTTGAAATCATCACTCACCGTGGCGATTCCCACATTCGATGGTGATGTGATGAGATGGCCCGAGTTCTGGGAACTGTTTTCGATTGCTGTGCACGACAACCACTGCTATGCCAACGTGCAGAAATTCGTGGTCTTGAGGTCACATCTTGCCGGAGCGGCATTAAGGGCCATTCAGGGCATCCCAGTCACGGGTGACGGGTATGTGCAGGCGGTGTCAGCTCTGAAAGCGCGATTTGACCTCGAGAATGTGCGACGGGAGACTCTCTTGAAGGAGCTGATGAACATGTCATCAGTCCGCCACGGTGACTTGAAGGCCATGCGATCCTTCATAGATCACCTGTCTGCGCACACGAGAGCTCTCAGCACTCTGGGTGTCTCCTCAGAGAGCCTATCCAGCCTGCTGCTGCCCATGGTGAAGGGCAATATCCCCGAAGACTGGCGTCTGGAGTGGGCCCGACGATCGAGTCACCACTTTGATGACTTCCTGGTGTTTTTGAAGGAGGAAATTCGGGTCAGAGAGCTTGCTAGGGGCCCGAATAGTGAATGCTCTGCTGTTGACCCACCAGCAACGTTCTCGGTGACCACCAGAGACCTCGACTCTGAACACCTGGCCAGGGAATGTCTGGGCAGTCCGTGTGCTGAGCGTGGCCGCCAGCATCACTCGCTGTTGCATGATGCGGAGTTTGGAACGCAGCGCTCACCCTCAGCAGTTTCTGAGTTGAGCCCTGATGCTGAACCACTCCAGCCTCCTGAGCCTCCTGCTCCGGGTACTTGTGCAGAGGCTGAGACGCACGGTGTTGAGCTGCCCAGTCGTCACCGATATAATGTCAGCTCTACAGGAAAGAGCTTCTTGCAAACCGCTGCTGTTGTGGCAGCAGGTCCCAATGGCCGCACGCCGGCACGTGATCTCCTTGATGGAGGATCTGACGCCTCCTATGTCAGGAGCTCCCTGGCTCTGGAGCTGGGACTACCTGATAAGGGCTCCGACACATTTGCCTGTATCGGGTTCCATGAGAGAACCGAGCAGCCTTGCGCCTATGATCGAGATGAGGTTGATATTGAAAGTCGTTTCGAAAGCCCGTCATTCAAACTTGACATGAAGAGCACAGACGTGCTGTGCTCATCGCTGCCAACTGCTCAGCCACCTCGGTTGCCGTCTGAGATCCAGATGGCTGATGATTTCCAGGGTGGTGAGGTTGACGTCCTCGTAGCGGCTGATGACGTGCATCAGGTCGTCCTACAGGATCAGTTGGAGGCTGATGGGCTGAGAGCCATTGATACTATTTTTGACTATGAGCTGAAAGGCGGAGACAATGATGGTCCCCACACGAGCCAGTGCCCTTCTAGTCGGCCCGATGCTGCTGACTGGGACGCGAGCCCAACTGGCATTCATGACAAGGAGATGTGCGACTCACACTCCAACCCGCAGCTGATGAGTGAGAAGCTGCACGAGCCGCCCCCGATCTGGGGCTCTGACGAGAGGCCGACATATGGCCGCTGCTCCCGGCCGTCGTGGTGCCGTGAGGCGCCCTCGATCATCGGCCCCCGACCCATCCCGTCCGTGCGGAGGAAGCACCCCGGCGGGATCTGGCGGTGGCATCGGTGGCGCCGTCGTGGGTGAACCCACCGCAACGCGCCCCAGTTGGGTTCATCCCCGAGGCTGTCCCATGGTGGGGAGCCTTCTGGCAGTGAAACGCGCTGTGGGGAAGAACTGGCCATGAACCGCAGTGCCCTGACAGATCCCCAGCTGAGAAGGGACCGTTTGATCCCCTGAGAACTAGAGGGTTATCTGTTTAATGCTTAGGATAAGTGTATAAATGTTGTTTATTTGTGAGGGCAAACTCAGTCTGGCGGCTGAGTCTGTGGCCATTTGGCAGTGGCCCTGTTGCCATGATTGCCTTAAATGTTTATGTTTGCCCTCTACTTACGAAGCGTTTGTTTCTTTCTTATTTTCAGTTTCCTTTACCGGCCGTACGCCGGGCCGCTGGGCCGGCATGGTTGCTGCGCCGTGCCGGGACGCCGTCGATGCTGCGCCTGGACGGGCCGCCTTTTTCGGCGCGTCGGAAGGACCACCTCTCCGCCCGAGGGATGCGACCATGCGCCCGGTGCTGCTAAATCGACAAAGCTGCCGCACCGTGCCAAGATGCGCCGGTGCTGCACCTGAACGTGCCGCGTTTTCGGCGCGTCGGAGTGATGACCTCTCCGCTCGAGGGATGCCCGAGCGGGCGCCGAAGCCTCGGAGCGCCGATCGGGATGTCGCGGACAGTGATCGTGTCGTCGCGGCTAAGAGGACCACGCGTGTGAAGCGATTCTCTCCCGGAGTGATTTGCGTGAAAAAAATGTGGTAAACCCCATTTTTGGTGGGGAGAATGTTGAAATTCGGTCATGAGTGGTTTTAAGTAATATTTGTATCTTGCTGTGATCAGTGATTCGCCCGGCCGCCGGCTGAGCTTCCCGGCCGACGCGCGGCCGCTGTATTGCGGCACAGCATCTCTCGCTGGAGCGGGGCTGTGCGGCGCGGACTCGTGCAGTGATTGGTCGGCTGCTGACCACGTGATTGTGAGGCGAGGTCGGGTGAGTGTGCGCCGGCGGAGGGCAGTCGGGCAATGTCTGTTGTCGCGGCTGGTGCGTTGGGACCTCGAATGTTATATGCGTTTACTGGGGACGTCGGCAGACTCGTCTGAGAGGCTTGCTGTCGGCTTACTCGGCGACGCATATACATTCGAGGGTCTAAATCTGGGACTGAGTCTGTCCGGCTCGTTCCTCATTCGCTTTTTGGCCCCAACCACCGATAGCACAGCGCCGTGAATATGTCAGCCGTACTAGTCTGAGCGGCCTGTTCGGCGAGCATATTCGCGGAACATTCGTAACATTTGAGCGTGCCTTGCAAGGTCGCTATTTCATACGGCAACGCGCCTATTCAGGGAGGATATTCACGGGTTGGGGAGCCATGAACGAGGCTCTCATTTCATGGAGTAGGCTTATTTTGGTGCAGAGTTTGTACTGGGCCGAGTCGGAGCCCTGCCCTGCCATGGTTGTTCATTTTGCTGACTATCAAAAATACATCCGCCTGGTGTATTTATACCTTCTTTAATTTGGAATCGCAACACCGCTAGAATAACGAGCTAGAGAGGAAACGAGGAACGATAACCGCGTGACTGTGATAGAACACACAAAAAAATACCATTAAAGGAGTCGTGTGACTGAACACCGGCCAGGCGCCGCCAATTATTATCATCGCAGCTCTTTCCGAACATCCCACCATAAAAAACTTGTGGTATAAAAAGCAGCGTTGTTGACGAGTTCTAAAAGCTACCTTATCCAAAACCTTTTAAGCAGTAAATGCACGTCCAATGTCAAATGCAGCAATTTTGCTTTTCGTTATAGCACTTTAAAATGGAACTTAAAACAACAACCGCAACACTCCGCAAAAAAAGTCCCACGTGACCGATGCATGGTGCGGCAGGATTTGCGGAAACAGCGCGACCCCACTTCAGCACAACCCATATGCAACTGAAGTTGCAATAAAACACATTTTTGTGGAAAGCAATTATAAACAGTCGGTGATTCTACGAGGATTTTTTTTTTCCCGAGACCCCACTAGTCAACAGACCGCTCCGTTTCCGACGGGACAGGGTCCCAGCGATGCCAAAACGCCTGTGTGAGTGGCGCCACCTCCCAGGCCGGTCTCCAGGTGACGAGCGTCCGACGGTTGGTGGCGGCAGTAACCGAGGAGTTCTGAACAAAACCCACAGAGGTCGCCAGCGTTCACAGCGCCGAGAGGCGGCCCGCCACCGACCATACAGCGTTTCGCATTTAGCTGAGATATTTGTCCCAATCTTTGAAGAGTGTTTGACCCGTTTATAGACCAGCGCCAGCTGTTGACAAGGTACCGATTTACCCTCGAAAACCAAGGAATCGGGTAAAATTGGCATAACTAATCGAACAAATCAATCAAACCAGACTGCGCAGTGTTAGCGCCGTTTTCTCGGCCCCTCACCTGCAGAATAGAGATCATCCTCCTGATGTGCTCGGTGGTGAAGTGTTTCATCTGGTGGAACCCGAACCCGGTGAAGTCCTGGATGGCCACGACGCCGCACACCTGGAGCGAGAGCGAGACAGACCACCGTTCAAATCACCTGCACATCGGCGGATAAGTGGGGGATACACGTGACAGTGGACGGGTAACGGGCGAGACAAGTTGCACACAGCGTGATAAGTTATACCAAGCACTGCTGACAGTTGATACATCAGTCCGTCGACACCTGACATAACAAACCGTTCGAGGTGTTTCAGCGTACGACATGAGACTAGGTTTGTGAAAAACCCGCCCGTACCGAATTAAATGCAGCTAACTTCATCCCTGATAGCACGGCAAGGTGAGAATCGGGCGTTATCAGAAGGCTACGCGCGTGTGGGAACTCAGACAGATTCGTGCGCCTACAAAGCTCTTCTGATACACACAGTGACAGCTTAGAGTGGGTGCCTATTCCACTTCAACACATCAGCTCAATCAGCCCTCCCCCATAACCCCGCTCCATCTGATTCAGTTACATAACTGCCGGGCATGACACGTCTGATTTAAGTCTCCAGTTTCCCCAAATGTCATTTTCTGGTTCATATCTCAATGTAGGAAGGAAATGGCATGACCCCTATCCACCACAATTTCAAAGCCAGTTCAACAAACCAAGCTCAGATTCGCAGCCGTAAGTCTAGAAATGCGGCTAGTGACGCCCGCATTTTGCCGTTACCGAGGTAGCCAGCGACGCCAATCGTTTTTTTTTTCTGCCGCCGTGGATATACGGCGAGCGTCGATTGCTATCAAACATTCGGGAGCGGCTCGGTCCAAGGGTCAGCCCGCGCGGCACACGCGCAGTTCGTGATTTATAACACTCTCGAGTCGGACCGGCCGCCGGCGAACGGCCAACGAGACGCACACAGGAGACGGGACGGTCCCAGCGTTCTCTGAGAAAGACGGGACAGTCCCAGCGTTCTCTGGGGGAGACGGGACGGTCCCAGCGTTCTCTGGGGGAGACGGGACGGTCCCAGCGTTCTTCGGGGAGTCGGGACGGTCCAGCGTTCTCTGGGGAAGACGGGACGGTTCCAGCGTTCTCTGGGGAAGACGGTTCAGTCCCAGTACTCTCCGTGGGGAGCTGAGACGGACTAGCACTCTCGGGGAGGAGGCAGCGGCCGTCCATCCGTCTGGAGATCCTATTCCGTCAAACACGTTTCCTCTGCGCACTCTGCGCACCTCAAGCACAAGTTTAGCGCTCTTAGTTATCAGAAGAGCAAATTGCAAAAAAAAAGAACTCGATGTAGAATCGCCGAGCTGGCCTAGCTGCTGATGTGTCAAACGACTCGTACCACACCAGCTTCACATCAGACGACTGACCTGGGTGGCCTGCTCCCGCGCCATGTGCTCCAGAAGCAGTACGTTCGAGATGAAGATGTCGTCCATCGTCACCGCGCTCGGATCCCAGGCGCCTGGTGGGAAGGGAGGGGGAGAGAGGGGGAGTCAAAAGAGTGGGGGAGAGTGGTAGAGAAGGAGGGAGAACCACGCTGTGTGCATGCATTTCATAAGCCAGCAGGCACCAACAGGCTACGTAAAGGCACGCTAACAGTTGAATTGACGGCATCATGTAAGGGATTTATTTATTGTGGAAAGCTGTATCACAGAGCTGTCAGCCAAGGAACGAGTGCGATAGTAAAACATCGTGAACTCGTGACCCCACAGACTACAGAGACGGCTGGCTTCGGCAAGAGCGATATAAATTCGATGAAAAATGACGTCTCGACACATAAGAAGCAAACGTGGACATCCAATAATGAAAGGTCACTAATAAATAATTAAGCCTTTGGTTCGAGCAGCATTTCATCCTAGAATAGCATAGCAACATTTCTAATAAGAATGGAAGCAAATACAAATGCAACCGTCTCAGTCCTCGCACAATGGCACACCAAGACTCCCTCCCCCCGTCTTCCCGAACCGTCCACCCTCGCCCGTCGGCGGCCGCTCACCGGGTCGGAAGACGAACACGCGGCAGCCGTTGGGGTCGCGCTGCGGCAGCACCATCTGCAGGCCGTGGCGCAGCACGCGCTCCTGGGTGGACGGCAGCAGCCGGTCGAACAGGTGCTGGTGGCGGGCGCGCGTCCAGTAGTACTGCTGCAGCTGCACCGTCCGACCACAGACAGCACGGACAGTTAGAGGATACCCGGTCGGACATAATCAGCGCGCTGATGCTGAGGTCGAGACGGTAGCCGGAGACGGAGGTCGGAGGAGGCGGTAAGCTGAGAGGGATGTGCTGTCTGGAGTCTGGCCACAGGACGAGCAGGGTCGAGGACAGAGGCAGAGCTGCTGGAATGGAACAGATGGATACAAGCCACAAGGAGATCATTTATCCTTTAGTGGGTATCACACTTTACAGTAGGTATAGGTACTTTGTGTAAATACTTTCACCTCGAGCAATTTGTGACTGTACACCAAAATAATATGGAAGGTGCTCTCAATAACTGCTCAATTAGCAGTATAATCGAAACACAAAAGCATATTACTAAAATAACGAAATTCCCATGCACAAAAAAGTGCATTTGCTGAGCAATAACTTACCATCTGAAAGCTGCTATCATAGTCAAACTTCCTAGCACGAAGAAATCTGAGCAGAAATTCATCATCCATTCTTGAGTTCAAGTCAGCATCATCTGCAAACAGCATAGAAGGGTGGCACCAAGTGCATTTGGGATAATTCAATGAACCATGGTTGGAGAGTTGACAAACAGGGTGCTAAAAATGGAAGTCTCAGGTATTCTCCATCAATGTGTATGCAAGTTTAGGTCATCCATGTGACAGCAACTTTGCTGCACTGGGGTAAAGACTGAAGATATGGAACCTGAATTCAAAAGCTAGGTACAAGATGAACAACAGCAAACAATGAATAAGGGGAACATCCAAACATAGGTAGTCTAGGACTCTAGGCAAGCCCAAGATGTGGACTGACAGATAATATGGTAGATTATCTTACAGCCATACACAGCAAGACCAACAAACGTACCAGCAACAAGGTCTCTCAGTGCTGCAATGTCTCGTTCCCGCCACTCTTCTTTCTCTTGAAGCTCTTCTTCTGCCTTTTTTCTTAATTCTGGAGTAAGCTGAAAGTCACTACTGCCAAAAACACTTTGGAATTCATCAGTTTCCTCCCCAGAGCATCCAGCCATTTCTCTTTCAATGAAAATTCCAACAAAATTTCAATATTGGGATCCTGAAAAAGGACAGAAGTTGAAGCTGCATCAAAACATCACCTTTCACCAGCCCTTTGAACAATGTGGACTTCGATTTGAACCCAATTTGAACATCGATCTCTGGAATAGCCTGCCGGAGGACATAATCAACTGTGACACAACAAACAACTTCAAAAAAGAACTTGACAAACACTGGAAGGACAGAATGTACAATGTATGATGGAACAGAGGAAAAGAAGAAAACAATGATAATCCAGTAATGAGTGGGAAAACCACGGGTTCTTCTGATCCTATTTTCTTCCGAATATCCCAGTATAATGTTATCCTACTTTCAGTTCCCAGGAAGCATATGGATCATGGAACATGGCATTTACACAACTATAGCACAGTACACATTGTCCAGGTGAATCTGATATAACAAATGTTGGATGAGTTTAACCACAGTGTATATAAACAAGTTTAATCACATCAAGTTCGGCATGCACTCCCAAGTCGATTGCAAGATCCAGTATCCACTGAGATTGCAGATAGTGATCTAGCATCCAATCCTCAGACCTATGCACAATGCCCATGCAATGTATTATTATAATCTTACCCTACCCTTCTTACATACAGGCTGTTTCTCCCTAGAAACAAGCCTAGAAAGCTTGCTTATTGCTAGAAACAGAAAGTGGACAACACCGCTGACTGCTGAGCAGCAAGAGTTGTGATACGGTGATACCCCTCACAATTGGCCACTGAGCAGTGACCGTTTACATAGCCTTGAATCAGAGCCAATCAATGGAGACATCTTATGACGTACCATATATACAAAAATAATCGTCTGAACGTCCCACAAAATAATGGACGAAATATTTTCTCTTTTTTATAAAGTAGTTTCTACAAAAGAGAAACACATAACACTTAATCAATCTCGTTTACAAAATCATTCTTTTACTGCCTGGTGACGTCATATAACAAGGCGACACCTCATCCAACAGGTTGCCATGGAAATTAGCTGATCGTGCAAAAGGATGGTCGGAGGCGATGCTCATCACTGAATTCGTGTGAAAAATATCGAATAAATACGCTCTCTCGGGTTGGTTTACAATTTTACATGCACTAACCTGCCTGGCCTCGCAGCGGTATTTCCATCAATGGACACGAACGTCTGACATTACGCGCTCCGTTACCTATAGCCAGCCCTAAAATAAAAGTGCTAAGCTTTCTTTTTAGTGTTAGCTCGTCCCTTGGGCATGCGAGCTTCCCCTCCCCCCCCCCCCATCATCGCTCATCATAAAATCGCTGCAAGACATCCAGGGCCCACCTGTCCGTGCTTCTATCCTCAGGATACTGAAATCCTTCTCCTCCACGCCACAGCCCCCTTCCGGGCTGGGCAGGCAACTTTATCTCATGCGGGCTGCTCACTTGGAGCGGCACCGCTGCTCCCGAGGGAGCGCACCCCGTAGCCGGGTGCAGTGAGTGCCTTGGGGCTGGGTGGCCTGTCCTCTGGACGGGCTCAGCCCCGGCGACTCACTAGGGTGCCTGTCCACTTGTCCATACCAATGTCTCCCCCTAATTCCTATCATCCTTCCGGCTCTGCAATGGTCTTGTCGACCGAAAGGGCCTAACCCAACAAAACAAAAACAAACAAACAATCCAGGGCGCGAGTTAATCATGGATACTTCATGAGTAATGTAATCATTTGCGCTCAACTACGTCCACCGAGCGTCAATTAATTTCATCGCAAACCTCATCATGATCATCAAAAACCTGGACAAAATCAAATTTATCGCACTTCCATCCATTGACGACTCAATTGACCCTGCAGCTTGTGCACGGTCAATGTCTACCTTTCCCCCCGCTCAGCCTGCATACCACAGTACTGACAAGTCAGCACATATATTATAAACCTCACAGCCCAGCCGGAGAAATCGATATACACAGGATCACGGTCGGATACTTTATTTCCGCGCAGAGCGAAAAAGCCATCACGACATGTCGACGTCTTCTCCGGCCTCCAGCTGCTTGAGGAACTCCTCCTTGACCTTCTTGACCTTGGCCTTGCGCTGCTCGTAGGTGAGCTTCTTCTCGCCGAAGCGCTTCTTCTCCACCTTCTTCTTGGGCGCCGGCTTGTACTCGGGGTTGGCACGGATGGCGTCGTGCGCCTTCTTGTACATACCCTCGATCTGCAAAATCAGAAACGGAAGCGTTAAAAACTGCATTAAAATAGCAAATGCAATGACCTAAGCCTAACACTTACAAAACACATGAGCATGAAGCAATCAGCGTTCGTTAAGCCATACAAGTTTGTTTTCTAGCCCAAACATGACAACTTGTTGACCGACGTTAGAAAACAAGTCGGACAAGCAATTGACCTTGTGAGCAAGTGATCATATTTGACCAGAAACAATACGCTCCAATGATAGATGGACGAAAGATACAACGCTCTCCGTAATTATATCTGCACGCATACCACACAATACGACTCATTCTCGTACTACCAAAAATGAAACAATACACGAAACAGTGGAAGTGTCTTAACACGCGCAGTGGAAGGGGGGCGGATTTCGCCCACCCCTCCTGTTTTTCGCCAATAACTCGCGCCGCAAGCATAATATCAATGTGAAATTTCGGCTACCTGTCCAGAATTCAATTGCGGATCTTCTCGTGCAAGAAGTATGAAAATCGGTTCACAACTTTTCTAGTAATAGCGGTGTAAAGTCAAACATCCTGCCGCCGCGGCGGCCGGCGCTAGCCGTTACGCGCCGCCTGAATTGTAGACTGTGCCGGGGCGGGACGGTTCCGTCTTTACATCGCGCTCCTTACCGCTGATTATATTAGATTCGCGTCAAATTCGGTGAGAAGACTGAGAAATGTACAGGCAATCATATGGTCAAAGAATTTTGAAAATCGGCCGGTAACAACTTGAGTTATGAGTGTGTTAACACAAAATTGTGATTGCCGCGTTTCCCGCGTCGGCCGATGCCGCCTCAGCCGGCGACATCTTAGGTACCCTTCGCAGGCTTCTGCCATATTTATTGTTGGATTATCTAGAAATTCACCATACATACTCACAAATGTTGCTCTTTCGTATAGTGAAAGATTAAAAAAATCGGCCGGTAACTTTTTGAGTTATCGGGGTGTAAACGCAAAAAAGTCGCTAATATGGCAGATTTGACCACATTTGACCTCATTTGACCTTGAAGATATTGACCTAGGGTCATGAAATTCACACACAACAGAGTTCCCCATGGCCACCACCTACCCTCCAAATTTCGTCTTTCTAGCTCTAGTGGGAGCTGAGATCTTAGGGGGGGGGGTGACATCCGCCCCCCCCCTTCCACTGGGCGTAGTACTCGCAACCCTTCCACTGCGCGTGTTAAACTACCAGAGTGAAAAATATTTAAGAAATTATCAAAGCAGCTCTACAGCAATGATAAAAAGTATCTTACTTTACTCCCATTTAAAAATGTTCAGCCCCTTTTATATGCATTCCATAAGGTACGAGTCCAAAACCCGTGCATTCACCGGGGTTACGATCAGACATGTGCATGAATCCGAGCGATGGATCATGATCTCAGTGGATCTCCAAGCAAACTGCACGTTAGGATCTATGATCCCATCGGATCCTGCGTGAATAATTTATCTTGGATCTATGACCTTATACGATCTCACGATAAACAAAGAACATGGATCTATGAATTCTGAGTGCATCCCACCATGCACATTTGGAACGATGTTTTATAGAGTTCCTGTCAATACGTTCCACAAAATTATGGATTATGACGTGCAATCACATAAAATCACTAAAACAGAACGTTTGTGAGTTGCAACAAGTGTTTTTTATTTCTGTGTTGACAAAAAAAAAGTGAGGATCTATGATCTCACTGGATATCAAGCAAAAAAATTGCACTGGGATTTATGATCCTGTCGGTTACGAGATCAGGATCCGTGGGAATCAGATCCCAGATCCATTTTCTCGGATCCATGCACATTAGGGTGTTTCATTACACTATGGTAAAATAATGTTGGTTCAAAACTCAGCCATATCGACTTTGCCCCAACTCTACCCGTAAAACTGAATCGATTGATACGCTTGAAACCCAAATTTAAGTATATTTAGGGGTCGCACACTTTTGTCACCAAAACTCGTTACACAGAGAAGGGGGCACATCCTTCCTTGGTGCGCTTGGGCAGCGCCTTCCGGTTGAGTTCCACGACTCGCAGGCCATCGTTGTTAGGGCCCTGCCGCCCTCAATAGACCGTTGCAGAGCCCTCAGATGCCAGCATAGCCCCCGCAGCCTGGTTGTGTTGGGGCCCTCAGAGGCCGTCGCTGGGCCGCCTGAAGCCAAATGGGCCCTCAGACTTGAGTTGGGTCTAGGGCCGTCACGAGGGCCCTCAGAGACCGTCGTAGAGACCCTCAGAGGCCAGTGGGGCCCCTGGAGTCCTGTGGGACCCTCAGCGGTCGTCATGAGGGCCCTTAGTGGTCGTTATAGGGCCCCAGGGGACAGAGTTCGTCGTGAGAGCCCACAGAGATCATCGTAAGGGCCCTCAGAGGCCGTCATAGGGGCCCTCAGAGGCCAGCGTGGCCCCTGGAGCCTATGTGGGACCCTCAGCGGTCGTCACGAGGGCCCTTAGTGGCCGTTGTAGGGCCCCAGGGGACAAAGCCCTCAGGTGGGAGCCCTCAGAGATCGTCATAAAAGGGCCCTCTGAGGCCGTCGTGGGGGCCCTCAGATGCCGTGTGGAGCACCAAACGCGGCTCGGGACACTTCTAGCCGGTGTGGGGACCCCAAAGACTAGCATGGGGCGCTCCTGACCATAATCGGACATCCCGGATGATTCCACATCAGTGTTCGTTTCCCGATCACTGGTTTTCAGGAGAAAATATATTGGATGGTGCGACGGGCCCCTTGTATGGATTTTGGGGGTGCAAAAAAGATATGTTTGCACCCCCATGTTTTTCGATGGGGGTGCAGCTGCACCCCCTGCACCCCCTATTCCGCCGCCAGTGCCTGGCTTTCTCAACCAAATCAGTTCGCAGGAAGACTACTCATGTTACGGCCAGAAACAAAATCAGAGATGAAAAGTCGCAGAAATGTGCGACCTCTAAACATCATCAGAATGAAGTGAAATTTTACACAGAAACTTGTGAGCAGATGACATTTGAGGGGAACATCGATATGACTCGCAATATGGCACTTTGAAAATGTGAAACACCCTAATGCACATGTCTCGTTACGACAGATAACATGCATTTTGATACGGTGATTCATTGCCCCACCATTGTCGTCATCGGCAGCTTTGAGCATACGAGCTGCAATTTATAAAATGACGACCCTCACGGGACCAATTTTCGTTTTATTTCAAATCGGACCAGATAAGAGGAAAGCCTTTGACTGTTCCGGTACAGAAAAGGGCTGCCAGAAAAATCCACTATTGTTATCAGAGACTAGACAAACATCCCGACACATTTTACCATGACGGTTACGACTATGGCCTGTTGCCTACTAGGTCTTTGCCCACTGATGACTGATTGACTACAACTCTCGTATTACTTAACAAAACCACAATTACTGTAAGCCCGCAAATCACAACACCGGTGGCGAAGTCTGAGCCCCATTTCCCGACCTCCGGTCTACTTACGCCGTCAGCAGTGATGCCGAGCTTGATGAAGCGCGCGAACTGGCGCTTGTACGCCTCGTCGTCGTCCTCCTGCAGGTGCCTCATGT